GGTATTCCCCAAAGCATAGGGGTATTACTCATTGAACTTTACCATGATTGTACCCGGATATAAATCAAATTTAAGCTTACAAATCATCACAGGGTATATCTCATAGGGGGATCTACCGTATGGCACTTTACGGTATATTTATCATATAAAACATACTTATAACAATATTTAAAATTATCATATAAAATTAAAAAAAGCTTATTAATTCTATATTTATTATATAAAACATACTTATAACAGTATTTAAAATTATCTTGCACAAGATAAACATGTGAAAGTAGCTTTTTTATTGTACAAGAGAAATTTGCTCAAGTGTGCAATTAAATTTAAACAAGAAGCTTGCACAATAAACAATATGCAAAAGAAATTATAAATTTTACTATACAAAATTCTGGTTAAAATATAGAATATTCTGAAAATTTATAAAAAGAAATTAAATGATACAAAATATGAGCAAGGTTGAGCTCAAATTTTAGAAATATCCAAAAAATTTCAAAAAATTAACTAAAAAATATAGAATATACAGTCAAACCTCTGTATAATCACACACTTGGGATACAAAAATGTATGATTGTAGAGAAGTGTGACGGTTATAGAGGTCAAATTTATTATATTTAATAATAGTTGTTTTAAAAAATATGATTATAAAGAAAATGTGGTGACTATTGGACTGTAGTTTGTTTGTTTTTTAAAAAAATATGATTATAAAGAAAGTGCTTATATAGGAGGTGACTATAGAGAGGTAATAATTATACAGTATTAAATATTAATAAATTATATAGTTATAATTATTATGTATTATAATCTTATGTATAAATTTGTACAACATAGTATAACTTTAAATACAGTTTACCTATCTAGCTTTATGTAAAAATGTATTTATGATTTTGGTATGACCTTATGTGCAATTGCAATCTGTTCGCCCACTCTATATTGTTTTCCTGAAACAGCAAGTGCACTAACTTGGCTTTCATTTTGGAACACGAGAACGCAATCAGATCCACCAAACTGTAAAAACGATATCTCATCTCCTTTCTTCAATTTTTGCCCTACCTTAACGGTGAGAACTACAGAAGATACTTGACCCATACCGATCGGTAAAACAGCTACTTTTCCAATTGGTGAATCGATTATAATCATATTGCGAGCCTGGCTGAATTGAAACCCATCAACGCTCGTAACATTTAGGGTAATTTTGCTCTCACTCTCCACTTTTCGAAGAGACACTGATGATCCTGGTTCGCCTGAGGCAACAACCTTGTAATATGCCAGACCTGGAATGACTTTGGCTTCGAGCACTGTGCCATCGACAGGAGCATGTATACGATGATAGTCGGTTACCAAGAGCTTTTCATGCATATATAGCCCGCTCGCAAAATCATCTTTGTATTTACTGTCACTAAGTAACTGTTTAATGCTCCAGGAGAGGCCTTTTAAAACGACAACCGATTCTTCACCTATACTCCAACAACCACCAAAGGATGAGTCTACAGCACTCACGATAACTGCTGGATTGGAAGGGCCGTCAATGGGTCGAGTTCCATTCTTAAGTTTTCTGGTGAAGAAATCGTTAAAAGATTTCCAACCTCCGGCAGATATCTCGTAAGCATCCAGGTTGTAACCCTGTGCAGTATAAAAAGTCTTTAGAGATGCTTCAGTAATTGACTCTTTCGTACTAAGAAATTTCCCTAATTCTTTGGCAAAATCGAGTATCCATTGGGATAGCTCAGTATACGGCGGATTACTCCAAGGTGCAATGGGTGACTGAAGCTGTTCGACAGGTTTCTGAGAGAGGACAAAATACATTGTCTTCATCATACGATGAACATAAGTTCCTGATTCTCTTTCCGTAGGCACCCATCTCACAAAATAATTAAGAAAATTGTAGTAATCGGTCAAAGTTTTTATATATTGCATTTCTCTTGCGCCTGTACCACGAGCGTCTTCGATCGCCGTTTCAAAAAGGATATTCCAGTTATTGTTGTCAATCATAACTTGCAGCTTTTCAATAATTTTCTCATATTTCTGAGGAGTATCAAATGGCCCGAGAGGCCCTTCATCTATTTCGTAGGATGGACTATCTGGAATCGTAAAAATTGGAGATTAAAAATGCCAAAATTAATAATAAAGGTTTTAACTGCATAATTCAAATTAATTTGATTTATTTGATTTATTTAATAGTTTCTCATATTACCCAACATATTCATATATTAAAAATTTTACAACACTTCTTTAAGCTAAATAAGCCTATTATTACAGAGGCGGTGTAGATGAGGCTTTTTTGTTTAAATTTTAAATTGAGCCATAAGGTAACTATTAATTTTAATAGAAAGAAAAAAGTTCAACCCATGATTCCATGCTTAAAGAAACAGAGCCTTTTGTATTACTTACCTCAAACTATTAATTTTGAACTAATATACTGTATACATTATCCTAAAGAAATTCATAATAATAACGATAATCCACTCTCAGTAATTAAATATCTTTCTGGGTTTGTAGGTTTTACCGTTTTTTGATTAGAAATGTTGATCCAAGTGGAAAAATTAATTACGACATTTGTTATGCGAGTAACCGAAAATGAAATAAAATTACGACTAAATATAAAGCCTTAAATTTAATTACTTACAAATTTGTAAATTAAAACTCACGTGACGCATATAAATTACTGGCTTTAGACGATCACCATAATTAAAAAATTAATTACGATACTGTACATAAGTATGATGCAAGATTTTATAATGGGATCAGAAACGTCATAATGATCTATCCGAATTCCAAAATTGCGAAAATAAGATTTCACCGACCTTTGCTGACCCATTACTAATATATGATTGTGATAATTTATAGATACATTATTGTAGCTTAGTTTTGATTTATATTTACGCATTATCATTATGCAACTTACATATCTTTACTATTCTTAACTGGGATATGGATAATGTTAGTAACATGCAAAAGTGAACTATATACCGTATATTATTATAATAGTAAATTCAGCAAAAGAATTTTTTACAGTAATTCGTGATTGAATCACGAAAATTCCAATACAAAATTAACTCACTATATTTTTGATTATCAGAATGGCGAGTAGTTTTGTAACAGAATTTCTTGCAGCAACTCATAAGGGAAATTACAATAATTCTAATATAATTCAGCCTTAACTACGAACTATTGTCACTGGAATAACAAGTAAGTTTTACTGTAGCTTATTGTAGAAGATGAAGTCACAATAATTCCGATGAAACTAACTTAACAATACTTCGATTACCCGAAGCAAGTTCTGTAATAGAATTTTTTAAAGTAATGATTTTCGAAAAAAATCCCGTGATGAAGTCACTAGTAAAATTAAAAGGACAAAGTTATTTGTCATGCATGTGACAACAGCTTATAAATTACTAATTATTTATTTGTGGGTAAAATAAACAAATAGTGCGCCTGTCCATGGCATATACGTACGTACGTATGTACGTACGTTCGTGTGTACGCAAACCCAAAAAGGAAGTTTTTCGTTTTAGACCGTAAAATCCAGTGTAACTGGCATAACTTGAAATCGAAGACGTTGTGACCATCCGAATTGGGAGAGCGTCAGATGGGTCAGGGCCAAGATAGTTCAGGGTGGTAAACGAATATGTAATGGGTCAGGACGGAGGGTAAGTGTATGAAATAAAATTAAAGAGAAAACAACACAAAAATAAATAAAACCAAGAATAAACTCTGACTAAGCTGCACGAAGCATATAGTCACTATTCATAACAAGACAATACGTTTATTATATGTCAAAGAGGAAAAGTCTACTCAAGACTAAAAACCTCAAACAAAAACATTGAGACACAAAGCCCGAGGCAAAGAATCTGCCTTTACAAGAGGGCGAATACATGGAGTTTTTATACATGTCAGCTAGTTACAAATTCCTTCGGGACAACGCTTATCTATTACTTCGTTTCACATTACTAATCTTATTTACAGCCAACACCAATTATACTTTCCAACCTGCCAAGGTCCGAATTAAGAGTTACACTCAAACAATTAATCTCGGAGATCAAGGCCCAGATCACCGACAAGAATTAGAAGGTCGATTGTTATTAGTGTTAATATGTCGGACCAATTGGCCTACATGTACAACAGACCGATCTAGTTCGGATATCGGATATAAGATAGCAGAAAGTAACTATATATGGGAATGTTAGAAAGTAAGTATAAAGAAACAAATAAGGAAGGGGCAAATGACACAAACAGAAATAAGGTGGGACAATAGAAGAACAATCGGAAGCAAGGTCATCCGATAATTTTGAGGAAGGAAGATAATAATAAGGCAGGGTGAAAATAAGAAATGACACAATTTTTGGGGTGCCGGTATATTATAACCGTCACAACGTTTTTAAAAATTGTCAATAAAAAAAATTCCTCACAAAATTTTTAGTATATGGAGTCTTTGCCTTGAGAATCACTCTCCGAAATTTCCTATCGTGCCAATTTGGACAAAAACAACCTGAGCATCAGTTTATGTTCATATGTGTCATAGCAGGCTTTCATTCCGATTGGTCAATCACTGGAATTTATTTCCCACTTCGTGGACAATAACATATACGTACACACCGCATATATTAAACGAATTGGCTGGCATGAAAATGAATTATCCCGAGGAACCGAATACATATTAGAAACTATCTTACATTCTACATACAGCTTAAAATAATCACAAAACAGAGGAATAATCATGAGTGCAAATTTTTAAAATTTTGGGTATTTCATAAATTTGCTTCAATGTTAATAACTAAATGCATTAAAAATCCAAGTTATTCTTTATCGGTGGAGATTGAAAATAACACGTGTCGACGAATTTGTATTTTATGCAGAACTTTTATACTTATTTTTATACTTACGCTAGTTAGAAATTCGTTATTTTAAAATGGAAAAGAGTTTATTTAATTTCACTAGCATTTTATACCCTCCCCATTTTTTGTAAATCCTTCGTAATTACGGCCGGCCTGCATTATGCAGGTGGAAAACCACCGGCCAATGCTATGCATCGCTAGTCTATCCACAAAAAACCCGCGTCGACAGCCGGCCCGCTTTATGCAGGTGGGAAACCACCGGCTGACGCTACAAATCACTAATTAATTCATACATCAATTGCACCGATGCATACTACGCATCTATTTTAAGCAATCTAATAAAGTTTTATATCCAGCTCTATTTGGGCTGGTGCGCATCTAAACAAATATAAAATCGAGTGCGAGTGGTACTTTTCGATTACCAAATTCAACTACATTTTGTGACTTTTCGCAATAGCTAGAGCACTTATTCGAAATCCCAAAATTTTATTACTAGATGAAGCAACATAAGCTTTAGATTCGGAATTAGAAAAGGTTGTACAAAATGCTCTTGATGCTATTGCCCATGAGAGAACAGCAATAGCAAATTATCAACAATCCAACATGTCGATATTATATTTGTTATGAAGATGTAAACTTCATGAACAAACACGCGCCGAGAATTATTAAAACTACAGGGGATTTATTTTATGATGATACAAAAACAACTCCTGGGAGAATCAAATTTATAAATTAAAGTTTATACTGTATTGTCCATTAAACTGTATTCGGGGGCAGGTTACTGCCTACAAAATTTATTAATAATTGCTTGTATCACCATGTACGCATACATAGTTATAATATAAGGTAGCTGCGCGACGTCATCGCGCAAAACCAGGAACGGGAAAGTATCTAAATATTAAGTCGTTTAACATTTTAAATTAACCTGATTCTGGATTTTGTGATAATTGATCTGATATATTAAATTTAGATCATGTCACAATTAGGGATGTTAGTCAGTTCGACTAAACCCGGTCTTGCGCTCTGGGCCAGTCTGGTTTTTTATAGATGGTCGGCCCTAATATAGTATAAAATTATTGTAACGAACATATATACTTAATTTTTTGTGGTTTGTTGGGTTTAGATTATGGGCACTATTGCAATATACAGTACAAGTGTAAGCAGGGCACTATGCAACTTGAGTTCAGATAAGACTAAAATTTATGATCAATACTTTGTATATAAATTTTAGGAAATCATGTTATAATAATTATAATCAGCAGGAATAAGTGGGGAGCTCAGATGGGAACATCAGTGGTATTGAATTCACATTTAGGGTTCCCACTATCAAGAATGCTCACGTACACAACAGTAAGAAATTGGTCGGAACTCTCAACTACATATTTTCCTGGAATAAAAGCAATATCACCGGATGAGAATACTTGAGGTTGTTCATTTGTTGGAAAAAAATACTTCCATCGAATTGTCTGTGACATTTCTTTGGTAAGCTTATATTTAGCCACTCCAGATGAACACAAAAAACCGCTCTTTACAGAGATAATAACAACTAAAAGCACGACATGAGAAAGCATATTTTTGGATTTTTTTACTTATTGTGATTTGCAATTATGATAAATTTAAATCGTAAAAGTTATATCTAAATATATTTAAAAAAAGCTTACAAATAAGCAATATAAGATTATACTTTTTATTAGATAATCAACGATAGCATATGAACGTTATAATTACAAATTTGTTATTAATAATATAATCAATGAACCTAATTAAAGAAAACACACAATTTAAATGCCAATACTTGTTATTTTAAAGAGTCTGATTAACCTCTTACAATGCAAAAAAATTTCATATTAAATCATGTCTTCACAATGATGTTATTGAGAAATACCTTGGCTCTGAACGATTACCATATAAAGTCAGAATTACATGTTTATTATGAACTTAGCCACATTATTTTTTAAATGCTATATTCATTAAAAGTAACGAATATAATATCTGTATGTTAAAAAATCAGTATGGTGGTATCTTCGATAAATTTAGTTTCCTTCTGACTATTCGAGCTAGTTGCCCGATACCATTTACTAATTTAAGGTTGTTATCATTTACATAACGATTCATAATCTATATTAAGTAAAATGTACAGTACAAGTACAACTTACTGTTATAAATCAAATGATTATTAATGTTCTTAAAAATGAGGACGAACAAAAATGGCAAGTGACTCATTACGAACAATACTAAAATAGAGAAATTCCAAGAAATCACTCAAAATAGGTATATCTAAACCAGCATTTGTAGGTACGTACTAGTACGTAATATGCACGTGTATATCTGATGAACAAAAATTTAGATACAACCTGCTATATACAGGTGGAGAAACCTCATGCTCAAATTAGGAAAAAATCAATCTACATATAATGATAAATATAAGTAGAATAAATTAGGAAAACGTGACCCACATTTAGGTGGAAAAGCCCTATACATCATACTGTATGCATATAATATAAATAGACATCACTCAGTAATGTTAGTTATATATATGTATGAGTGTTACCAAGAGAAAACATGTCATCAGACTTTCAATAATATTCTATATACAGTTAACCTTCTATAAAGAATCTATTATTACATATGATAGATTTTCCATAGATGGCTAATTGTACACAAAACATAATTGAAAGTCCAATAACAGGTCAGTTTACCCTTGGTCACACTCATATATATTTAAAAAACCCTTTTATAAACCAGGTTTACAAATAGAAGTGATCATATAACGGATAAAAAAAGAGTTATCCAATCAAAGCACAGATTTGTACAGAAACACTTCATATGCCGCTTAACCATGCACTCTGTTCCTGGTACTATACAGGTTTTAATAAATTAAATTGCTTCGCGATGTTTTCACGCTAAACCAGGAAAGGGAATACTTCATGTTATATATTATTTTCTGAACGCTATCGCAAAAATGTAAGATTTTTGCAAGAATAAATTTGAAGAAAAAATTGCAGGTTAAGTAAATTTTTAGGTCATTAGAATCAGTAAGTGAATAAGTACATGAAATATTGTCTATTGAGCATTTGAATCAAGGTTTACAATAAGTGATTTAAAGGATGCACAAAAAAGTGATATCGCGATATCATTTATGCAAATAAAAATAAAAAGATGTAATTTATGCGATATTATAGCATGTAAAAAGATGTTATTACATGTAAAAGTATACTTGTAACACTTATTAAAATATAGTGTTACACGGAATCTGCGCCTTTCAATGCTTTAAATATGCCCTGTTCTATATATTTTTTAACGTACAATTTAGCGTAGTCTCATACTCAAAGTCCTGTGCATTCGTGCAATCATTGCTTATAGCAAAGTTGAAGGCTGAACGTTGGACAGAGAATTGAGCCTGAAATTTGAGAATTGCTAGCTGCTTCTCTATATGTAGCTAATTAAATAGCATAAATAATGTTGGAAAAAGGTCAATCAATCAGGAAATTTTAGAGAAGTGGTGTTATGGTTTGTTGGGAAAGTAGACACAGGCAATTTAACTCGTCACAGACTATGTAGTATAGATTGAATTATAGTTGTTAGATGAAACCTTGAGGTTTCGCGCTGACGAAATGTGAAACCTAGTTTCGGCTTTTGTCAACTAAAATCTCAAATGGCGAAATGACGAAAGGTGACGAAACTGGCGAAAGGTGATGAAACTGACGAAAGGTGACAAAACTGATGAAAAGTGACAAAACTGATGAAGCTGCAAAGAGTATGAAGCTAATAAAAGATGAGAAACAGAAGCAAGTATAAGTAGGCTCCTACATTTATGTTTATATAAAATTAAATTTTAAAACATACAATTATATCAATTTTAATATGTAATTAAGAAGTAATTTTATCAATTACCATATTAACCCGAAATAACGCGCAGGGTGTAATTTCAAATTTGACCTAAATTAAGCTTAATTCGGGCCGAGATTCGAAATAACACCCCTGTGCGTTATTTTGGGTCTATACGTAAGTAAATTAGTACACCAATTAGTAATGGGTGACGCATGACGCAACTTGTATCATTGACGCATGACAAAACCATTTTGTCAGACAACTTCGAATTGACGAAATGATGCATAACGCAACTTATGATGCATGACGCGACTCATGACGTAACTTGCGAAGTATTACACAGAAGTATATAGTAAAGTAGTACTATACGGTAACACAAATTCAGACAGACTTTCGTAAAAAATATAAACATACTTTTATACTCGGACATACGTATGATGCATAAAAAATGTACAAGTTATACTTATATACATATGATGCATAAAAAAAATACATGCTTGCATAAAATATATAGTCATTTCGAAAGCATATTTTATTTGATGTGTTGATATATGTAGCTCATAATTAATTGATTAATTAAAATCAGATGATGTATATAAAATAAAGCAAGCTTTAACATTAGCACGTCTCTCTTTTTTTTAAATAATCACTTATCTCTTTAATACAGTAAATAAAATTAAGGGGAAATTACACATCAGGGCCCAAATTTGAAAATAACTATGGATGAGGGCCCAACTTAAAAATATTTATTTATAAGGGCCCAATTTTTTGAAAATATTACAAATATGGGCCCTAATGTAATTACAGGATCGTTGTGCCATAATATTGCAACGATTACTCGCCTCACTCAATAGCTACATAATTGTGGTTATACGGCTATCAATTTTTATTCGCAATAAGCATTTATGTTGTTATTTATTATTTTTTTTCTTTACATGTAAAGAGAATCGTTACATAGTCTTTTTCGTGGGACAAATAACAAGCCGCTTGTTGGGTTTGTTGGTCTTGAATTGGGGGTCGTCTAAAGCCATGTACCCATGTAACAATCAACCAGCCGGGATCGCGAAAGTTTGTTTACACGGATCAGCCCGAAGAAGTTAAAAAATAAAGAAAATGCAAAAATATGAAAAACGACAGTTTAAACTTGTCTTGAAGCATTAATAAAAAATGTCGGGGGACGATTTTACCTATAAACTACTCTGCCTCTAACCCCACCTAATGTTAAACTATTTCTATTTCTAATTTTAATCAAAACTTCGAAAAATTACGTGGGTACATGGCTTTAGCCATCCTCCTGAATTGGTAAGGCACAGTAAATTCGATAGAATAATCATCTATAAAATTATAAATATATAGAATTTAAAATAATATAAAATATATAACATACCACTGAAATTTTACTAAGTTCTTCGTAATCCATCGCAAAATTTTTAAAGCTGAGCGGACGTTTCCATTTTAGTAAATGTCATCTCAATTTGTAATTTGGTTGACATAATGAAAATATTTACAGTCAAAGATAATTTTAATTAGAAAATTGAGACGAAAGAA